ACTTAGTTGGTGCCTATCAAATGTGTTGACTAAAAGAATGTAATGTCCCATGGGTATTACCCTTATCACCACCCCTTCACCATAGTGTCATTGTAGAGTTCTGGTAGGTTTTAAACTCTAGAAGGCAAAATTGGGTGGTATCTGGGAAGGAAGTGTAACTGAGCATGAGTATATAGGCCATGTGTTTATGGAAGTGAACTTCTCACTTATAATGGTCAAAAATGCATCAGGGTCAACTGAGTAGTATACAACAATTTTTTTTTTTTTTTTTGAGGCTTATAACTTTTGGATTGCTTGCAATCCCTTTTCCTTGTTAAGTGCTGTGCAATTCTTTCAGCTCATTCTTTCACCAGACTTAACACTTCTTTCTCAATCTCAATATCACATGGATGAGAGTCCATCATTATGCTAGCCAAGCTGTTAGAAAAATTGGTTTCAAACAGCATGTTTAACTGGCGTGATATTTAATTGAGTTTTTAAGAGACAGCAAGTAGAGTTTCTGTATTTAGATGTGCTATTTGGAGAATGGGCCAATCTGACCTCTAGCCTTTCTCAGATGTAGCATTACTTCAAGAATGGAACACTGATGTGCTTGTTCAGTTGTTGGTAAGACTGTTTATGGGTTGGTGAGTACGCAAGCACAAAATAGTTGTTTAACTTAGACTTTCTGACTTTAAGATAACTTTTTAAGGAAAGCAGTAATGGTAGCACAACATGAAAAATGTCATCAGTTTCCCTGAGCTGTAAATGTGGAAGTTGTTATATTGGTGAATGTCTTGTGTATATTTTTACCACAATAAAAGATTTTAAAAAATAATAATAATAAAATGCTTTTTAGACTTAAACCACTTTATCTCCTTTCTCTACCTCCTTCCCCCTTTCTACATCATATGTAGACTAAGCATTCCTTATAGGCCTAGATTTGAAGAAAGACTAAAGTGTGCCAATTAATACTTAATAATGATAGGAAGTAATGTAAACAGAACAACTTTGCAGTTGTCTTTGGATTTTATTTTTACCCAAATTACCATATTTGGCTTAAATGCAGTGAATCCAACCCAGTTAGAAAGCTGTTATTAAGATCTGGTTGCACTAGAGAGAAAACCTGTGATGTCCAAGTTGATTTTGGCAGCAGTGTCTTTATTTACAGGGTGAAGGTGAACAACACTGCAGGAGGTACTTCACCAGGGGGGAAACAGCTACTAGCTGTGAAGACAACCAGTGGAGCTAGCAGGCCTGGAGGAAGCTGGCAGAGCAGCTGCATTCCACAGCAGCAGTTACAATACAGTCTCTTCAGCTTATAGTTTGGAGTCAGAGAGAAGGCAAGGTTATCATGCAGCTTGTATAGCTGGTGTATAGCTAGGCCACATTATAAGCAGTGAGAATATCAAAGAGTTGCAAGAATAGGCAGCTACCCATCCAGGGTCATGGCTTGAGTTAACATTCTGCCCACCTCACATGTGGATCATACAGTGTTGTTGTTGTTGTTATGTGCCGTCGAGTCAAACGCGACTCATAGTGACCCCTCCTTGGGTTTCCGAGGCAGTATAACTACAGAAGTAGGATTGCCCAACCTTCCTTCCGAGGAGTGGCTGGTGGGTTTGAACCACCAGCCGTCTGGTTAGCAGGCAAGTTTTTTAGCCACTATGCTACCAGAGCTCCCGGATCATACAGTAGTCCCCCCTTAATCTGTGGAGCATATGTTCTAAGACCCCCCAGAGGATGCCTGAGAGCATAGATAGTACCAAAACATAAATACTATATTTTGTCCTATACATACATACATACTTAAGAAACCACAGGAAGTAAAGCCACAGATAAGGGGAGACTACTGTGTTCATTGTTTGAATATGATTAGCAAGTTGCTTGCAACACAGTCTCACATTTTTAGATAGGAAAGATTGGCTAAGCTTTAGGCTGATGAGCTGTATTAATAAGAGGTAGGATTATGACTATTAATTCCATTCTTCAGTTGCTGAAGAAACACACTTCTATCTTGTCACAGCTGCCTCTATTTTCATATTTAAAAGGCTGCAAATGTTATTGCAGTTTCCCTTCTCCCTAAACCTTCCCACCCCCATGTCCCCAGGTAGGTGGTGTATGGGAACATGCCTAGAACCTTGTGAAAAAAGGTGAACGGGGAGGGAGGTGTAACAGCCAGGAGAGAAGAGCGGCTTCCGGATAGGCAGCCTATGCCAGCAGTGGGGAGGCTGGTACGGGGAGGGCTGCCTCTGTTGTAAAAGGCTTTTGCTGGTCTTGATTATTTTTTTTTTTCCGGCAACAAAATAACTGCATATTGGATTGAAAGTTATTACCTTAGTCCTGGATTAATCTCTTCAGTAAAACAAGCTTTGCTGACTGCAGAAGTCACGTGAACACGCAGTGGGAAATCCTATCTCGAAGGGCAGATGCTGACTTGTGGCCATCTCATGAGTGTCTTTTTGGAAGGCAGTTGTGCTTTTGACATTTAAGGTATTTAAAATTAAAATTGTGGCACATAAACTAAAAAAGCTGCTTAGGATTTACACAGAGTTTGTTAATCAACTTGGAAAGATATTTGTTGATCAAGGTGCAGTACAGGCAGTCCCTGCATTACAAACATTCTACTTGCCCTTTAACGTTATGTGAATTTGCTCTCAGTTTGAAATGATTGAACCAACCACCTACTTGCAGTGAATTCTTCATCACAAGCATCTTCACCTTCTGCACGCATAGCTTTAAATCATTGAAAAGACTCCGAGCCTTTTCTTGCACTAAAGTAAGACTAAATAAGAACTGTATGCACTTATTCCAACTCTACCTACAAATGCCACTTAAAGGTACAGGTGGGAATGGATCTCATTCCTACTCAGGGACTGCTGCCTGTATATGTGATTTAGCTTGAGTTTTTGTTATTATTTTTGAAGCTGAGGTAGTTTGCTCTTAGAGAAGAAAGGATTTTGAAAGGGTCACCAAACCAAAAAAAAATCAAACTCACCGCTGTTGAGTCAGATCTGACTCACAGCAACCCCTCCTTGGGTTTTCTGAGGCAGTCTTGAGTATGGAAGTAGATTGCCCAGTCTACCTTCCAAGGAGTTGCTGGTAGGTTTGGACCACCAGTCTTCTGGTTAGCAGTCAAATACCTTAGGCACTACATTCTGCAATATCTATTAAATGTCTTCTATGTGCAAGGCCCTGGACTGTGTTGAGATACGAGTCTTTTGTTTCCATGCCTTTAGGATCTGTCCTTAAGACTTTAATGAAACAGGCTGTGGTCTCTGCCCTTTCCTTATTTCACAAAATATCCTAAAGAAAAAAACTTGCCCAATTGATTGTTGGGCCTAGGTGGGTTTTAAATGGATGCATACCCAAGTATTTTCCTTGGGCCTGCTGCCCAAATAATAGTATAAAAAAAATACATAGCTATCACTGCATGGCTGTTCTCTGATTTCATTTTTGGTGTGAATCATGCTAGACAGAAACTTTGTGAAAATACAAGTGTTTGCTCACTTGATTATTGCATTGATAGGTGTGAATTCTACTGATTCCATATTTTGATTGTTCATATTAGCTGCCTTTGCCTAGGCTGCACATTTAAGCCTGAATTTTAGCCTGCAAGGTGGTGCTCCCCTGGCTGACGCATACACGTGACAGGAGGGGAGGATTTGAGGCCTGTAACTAATGAGCAGTTTACTATTCCTGGCTTGAAAATGGCCATAGCTATTGTTGCTGGCATCATGAAGAAAAGATTTTAATCTGTAATAGCTTACATTCCCAGAGATACTTGCTAAAGATTTACCTGAATGGATTCTCCATGGGAACCTTTTCAGATTTAGTCCAGATTGTTGAGGACATACAGGAGATTCTCATCAGATTGTCATATGGTCCTGTTTATTTCAGGAGGTGGAAGTTTACTTAACATTGTGATTAAAGTATCAGTTTAAACATTTTTGGAGATAACTTTAAACCATTTAATAGAACAAAGTGTTTCTATATACTTTAGAAGCAGCCATTGATTTATTTATAAATAATACTGTTACAAACTATTTGCCATTTATTAAAGCCAGTCTCTCAGTCATTCTTAAACAATTCTCTAGTACGTTTATTTCATTAAGGAGCTCTGGTGGCATAGAACCTAAGGCATTTGACTGCTAACCAGGAGGCTGGCAGTTCAAACCCACCAGCTACTCTGCAGAAGAAGACTGGGCAATCTACTTCCTTAAAGATTTACCACCTCAAAAATCCAAAAGGGGTCACTGTGAGCCGGAATTGACTCGATGGCAGTGAGTTTATTTCATTTTAGGAAGTTTTTCATCCGGTACCAAGTCATTATTTTCCCCTTCAAATTAGTGCTGAGTAGTTGGAATTTACTATAGTGTGTGTATGTTTTTCTGTATCTTTTTCATCAGTATATTCTGTATTTTACATCTTTAATGAGTGTAGACAGTCCTGGGGATGCTACATTGGTTTTGTGAAGTACGGGCATATGAGTGGGCTCTGACTGTTGGCACTCCCGATGTTCATTAGCATTTCTAGGCATCTCTTTATGATTCTTTCAAAAAGCAAAACCGTTGCCAACTTTAGGGTAAAAATAATGCTACAAGAGAATATTCTGAACCAAACAGAAGCACTATGGGGTTATGTCTGTTTTTTGATAGAGTTGAGAAGATTAGTAAAGAGTGTGTTTTAATGTGTCAAGGTTTTATAAGAAAATTATGAAATGTGAGAGAAAGATTGTAGATTTGGACAACCACTAAAAGAAGTGGGATCTTAACCACTACCATCCCTCCCCAAAAAAAATAATAAAATACTGCTGAAACAATTGGGAAGTGACAGTAATTGGCATTTTGGGAGAAGTGAGAATAGCCTCTGCTATCCCTCATTTCTGATGGGAAAGTTACTGACTTAGCAGGAGCCACATGGTGACGTTGGCTTTTAGGGAAGACAATAAATGCCCTTAAAAAAGGGAACATTTCATAGTCTTTCTTGTTACAAGTTTTCAACTTTTAATCTGCTTATAGCAAATCCAGTTTGCTGATGACATGCAGGAGTTCACCAAATTCCCCACCAAAACTGGCCGAAGATCTTTGTCTCGCTCCATCTCACAGTCCTCCACTGACAGCTACAGTTCAGGTAAGGGTGAGTGCCATGACCTCTCTGATCTCTCTTCCCTTTTCCAGAGCCTTGAGCTAGCTCAGTACCTGGTGTTCTTCACCTACCTGAAATCTGAAAATACCTTGTGTCAGGACTGCCCATTTATGTGCTGAAAGCTGATAATTAGTGGCTGGACAGTGGGAAGTTCCCAGCCAGGCTTGTAGCTAGGGAAGCTCTTGTCATTCTGAGACTCTCTTCCCCTGACTGTGTGTGGTCTGTGGCCAGTGCCTGGTTAATAGTACTGGACTGGTTCCCATTCCTACATTTATCTGCCCCGATAAGAAAGGGAAGGAATCAATGGTATTTTGGCTGACAGAGCTGGCCTTGAAAAAGAAGTATACTTTGGAAGCTTAATTTATTTATAAAATATTCCCTGTCACCTGTCTTTTTCTTTCTTGCCCCTAAGACTGCTTGAATTGTTAGAATAAATTAGCCATTTTAGCTCCTTTTACTTATTACATTACCCTTTGTGTAAAAATACCCTTATATGTTAACCTCCGGAGTAAGAAAGAGTCAAATTATGTTAATGGATTCCAGCCCATTTCTTTCAGTTCTCCCCTCCTATCTTAGCTCTATATAAGCAACATCTTTTTCTGATTTGAATTATGCCCCTCTTAATTAATTGAGGGGGAGCTCTGAAAGCGTAGTGCCTAAGGCACTTGACTGCTAACCAGAAGCCTGGTGTTTCAAACCCACCAGCCACGCCTTGGAAGGAAGATGGGGCGATCTACTTTCATAGTGATACTGCCTCGGAAACCCAAGGAGGGGTTGCTATGAGTCAGGTCCAACTCGACGGCACATAACAACAACAACAATTAATTGAGGGGGTATTATGAGTATTAAAATGTTGTCTTCGCCAGAATATTATTTGCATTATATTATTAACGTTATTGACGGGGCTTGATGTACAAGGTGTGAAGAAACAGACAGACAAACAAATCAACCAAAAAGCCTTGTCTTTGTCCTATGCCATTGATAACCCAGTGTAGACAAGATAGGCAGACAAGAGCAAATATGGTATACAGGATTAAATAGTACAGATTCATGTGGGGATAAGTATGCAAGAAAAGCTTCCAGATACAATGACTATCACAAATGAAAAGATATCTTAGAGTGACAAATATGAAAGGTAGTAGGTGACAAGCAGGCTGATTATCCCTAAGAAGGAAGACAAATTACCTTTTATACCCATACCCACTGCCACCAAGTCGATTCCTACTCATAGTGACCACCTTCCATTTCTAAGGCTATAAATCTTTATAGAAACAGACTGCATCTTTCTCCTATGGAGTGGCTGGTGGGTTTGAACTGCCAGCCTTTTGTTTAATAGCCCAATGCCTTAACCATAGCACCACCAGAGCTCCTATGGGAACCTATCAGCATTTGAAAAAGCTTAGTGAAGGTCCCTGGCTGGTGTAGATGGTCTGCGATCAACTTACCAACCCAAAGGTTGCCAGTTCAAACCCACCCAACAGTATCATGGAAGATCCAAGCCTGGCAATCAGCTTCTGTAGTTAATGGGATCTCTCCAGATGAACCCATAAACAAACAAATGCCTCATAACAATTTTAGTGATAGAGATTAATTGTCATAGTGGAGAAGATAACCTTTAGCAGTAATTGTGCTAGCTGGATGAAAGATGTATACAAGTCAGTGAGAGAGACCTCATTTTCTGGTAGAGAGTAATGGGGAAAGTTTCCAGTTCAGAGAGGAAAGGGGTGATTGTGCATCCTCTTGCATATCTATCTATAATGACATTTTTAGCTTTGATGTGCAGGTGTTTTTTTAAAGTTGATCATTTTGACATACTTTTCCAGGACTGGCAATAGAACCAGAGCTGCATGCCTTTTATGCCATTTCTTTCCATCTCTGTATTCCTTGAGCACAACTTAGCATAAAATCCCTTACAAGATTATCTTATCCCTTTCATCAATAGCAATGGTCCTGAAAGTGTGGTCCTTTGACCAGAAGCATCAGCAACACCTGGGAACTTGTTAGAAGTGCTAACACTTGGGTCCCAACCAAGACCTGTTGCCTGGGAAACTCTGGATGTGGGGCCTGGAAATCTGTGTTTTCACGAACCTCCCACATGGTGCTGATAGACGCTTTAGATGCTTAACTTTGATAATCAGTGATCGATAGAAATAGTATTTCTTATTGCCCTAAATTGTTCTTCCATTTTCATCAGGTCTAGTTCCAATCCAGGTTGGGACCAAGTATTCCTATTATCTCTGGGGCTCACTAGAGCTCATGGAGGATTAGGTTTAGTGGTTCCTTATCCCAGGTACTAGTGGCAGAGTATCATCAGGATGAGTGAAAGGGCCACAACACTGAAAGATCCACAACAGTTTCATTCATACCATCTGTTAGACCCTGGAGAAGTAGAACTGAGAGTGGCATAAAAGGTAACTCCAGTTAAGAGAGTTTGCTTAACTTAAAATGAGAGTCTATTAGGGGCTATGCTTTGTGGAATTGGGGGCATTGAGGTTTTTCTGTCTCTTTCCTTCCTGGCTGTAGCTGCATCCTATACAGATAGCTCTGATGATGAGGTTTCCCCACGAGAGAAGCAGCAAACCAACTCCAAGGGCAGCAGCAATTTCTGTGTGAAGAACATCAAGCAGGCGGAATTTGGACGCCGGGAGATCGAAATTGCAGAGCAAGGTAAAGGAAGGGAGTGGGTAAGGGACTCAGATGGGCATGGGTACTGGCAGCCCTCTTGCTAGTCATCCAGATCTACAACTTAAGACTTGAAAATATGCTGGGGAAAATAGAGCATCCTGGACTTTTTAGTGAAAAGATCTTTCTCTGTGTGTGGAGCTTAAGCCTCAGGGTTCTTGATCTCCCTTCTTCCTGTTCTCCGCATATGGTAATTACACACAGAGTAGCTTCTCTTTTCTTCCCTCTTGTCTTCATATTCAAAGATCTAAGTTGCAGAGTCTGCAAGTCCTGGATCCCTACTTGGAAGTTAGTTCGGAGGAATCCTACCATACCTGCCAGTCACCAAACCAAAAAAAAAAAAAAAAAACACCCAATGGCGGCAAGTCAATTCCCACTCACAACAACTTATGGGACAGAATAGAACTGCCCCATAAGGTTTCCAAGGCTGTAAATCTTTATGGAAGCACACTGACCCATCTTTTTCAGGAGAGCAGCTGGTGGGTTTGAACACTGACCTTTTGGTTAGCAGCCCACTGCTTTAACTACTGCATTACCAGAGCTCCTTCTGCCATTCACAGAGACTCAGATGTCCCAGAAGTAGAAGACCTATAAGGATTTTAGGCTAAGGATGTGGTCACCTAGGGTTTTGTTTGGTCCTGAGCACCCTCTGCTGGAACAAAAGTAAAAGTTACTGACAGTTAGTTAAATCTTGATTTCTCCACCCCATCCGCAGTAATGTCTCATTGCTCTCTTGTTGCTTTCATCTTGAAAGCATGTTCTGTACTGGGAGGAAGTAGAGAAACCAAACTGGCCAAATGAGGTATGTCAGCCTGGAGAAACAGAAGCAAGCGGCTTCTGCTGAGTGTAAAAATCTTCCTTCTTATTTAATGATTGCACATAACTCTTTCCCTCTTCTCCAAAGACTCATCCTCCATTTTGATCAGTTTTGAGAATTTACTTCATTCTTTATTCAGTTCTCTGAAGCAGTAGAGGAAGAAAGGAGTTCCAAGTGGTTGGATGATGACTCCCACCATCGTCCTGCTGTTCACGCTGCCAGTCCTCATGCAGATATGTTCAGAGTTGTTGTGCCTTATCTCACTGTATCTCAACAGAGCCAGGCAGCCCTAGCTGCTGTCAGTTGGGCAGGAACTGATGATGTTGCTAGTGAGACCTAGCTCAAATCCTCTGTTCTTTCACAGACATGTCTGCTCTGATTTCACTCAGGAAACGTGCTCAGGGGGAGAAGCCCTTGGCTGGTGCTAAAATAGTGGGCTGTACACACATCACAGCCCAGACAGCGGTAAGTTTGTCGGGAGAAAAAAAGAGAGAATTCTGATAAGGGGAAGAAGGGAACAAATTTTTTTTTTTTTTTTTTTTTAGTTATAAAACAAACACGTGCACTTGGTAAAGAAATTAAAACCATAAGCAAAGATTTAATAAATTTCCTTTTCCTTCCCATTAATCAATCTCCAAATGCTATCTATTAAAGGGGCCTTCCTGTTACACAGTAATATTCTCTACTTTGTATAGTTATAACCCACTTTCAACATTTACAAAAATGTTACTGATATCAAAATGTTATTAAGACTTTAGGAACATATCTATTGGGTAAAGTTAGATACCATTGTGCCACCTAACTGGGTTGTAAAACTCTTGTGATTTCCCACTGTAGCAGCTGTGCTTCAGAGGTGATGAGTACTGTTCTCTTAGTACGATTGCACGCCACCCCTCTCTGGACCTCCTCTTTCTCACCCCGTCTTCCTTTGTATCTGGACAGGTATTGATTGAGACACTCTGTGCCTTGGGGGCTCAGTGCCGCTGGTCTGCTTGCAACATCTACTCCACTCAAAATGAAGTGGCTGCGGCACTGGCTGAGGCTGGTATGTTCAGCTTTTTTCACCAACTTTGCCTCAAAATAATTATCTAAACATAACTGTTGTATATGAAAAGTATCATAATATCATTTATGTCTAGGGACTGTAAAATTGGGGTATAATAAAACATCAACAAGAAGAGACTGGATAATAAAATTAATGTCCACACCTATGGTGGAATATTGTACAGTCATCAAAAATGATCTTTGAGAAGAATCTAATGACATGGGAAAATGCCCAGTTCTCATGTTACATAAACAAATATGAATATTAAACTCTATAAGCTGTATAAATTTGGGCTCAACTTGTCTCTTCATCAAAAGTCTCATCCATTTTGAGAGATCACAAGGAACAAGTGTCTATTGATTGTTAGCTAGATAATTTGGTATTTAATATTGCATTGAAAAATATCTGGGCTATTTGTGAGTTAAATATGAAACAATTTTTATTGTAAAAATATTCAGAAAAAAAGTCATCATAAAGTTTCTTTAGGGACCTCCCATCTTCCTAGGATCCTCAGAAGGTAACTTTGTAATACTTTCATTTTTGTTACTCTTTTTTTTTTCCCAGTAAGTATTTATTGCAGAAAATTTAGGTTCCAGGAAAAAATTCATAATTCTGCTACATAGAGATAATATTTGACAGTTTCCCTTTTTTAAATTCACATTTGGCAGAGATTAAATAAATCCTAGAATGTATATTTTTATAACCTAAGTAAGATATTTTCAAAGTAGTTCTCCATGTCACTAAGAACATAATTTGTAATACTCATTCACATGGCCATGTGACTTTATTTCACTGTTTTCCTAATGTTAAATGCTTAGGTTGTTTCAAGATGTTTGCTAATATAAATAATGCTCTACTAAACAGTTTTGTATTCATACTCATTTCCATTTCTCTCCTTAGGATAGAGTTCTAAGTGAAATTACCACCCCTAAGAGAGTAACATTTTAATTTTAAAGGTTGAAAATATTTTTTTAAACCCCTTAACTGAAGTAATTTCTTTTTCTTTTTTTTCAAAAACTTTTTATTGTGTTTTAGGTGAAAGTTTACAGAACAAAATGGTGGTTTTCCATTCAACAATTCAAGCATATTTTGTTTCATGGCAGTGATTGCAGTCCCCGAACTATAACAGCACTTTTCCTACTTCCTCCCTGTGTATACTTCTGTTTCCATTCATTGTTCTTTCCTATCCCCTTTAACCAAAATAATTTCTGAACTAAAAGTAGTATTTTGACTCCTTTTTCTCTTGCCAGTTGTTTCCTTTCCATGGTAGTTTCTTTGGCCTTTTTCTCTTCACGTGAATCAGAAAGTGGTAGTGGAATAGGGCACTCCTCAAAGGAGGAGTCAGCTAATGTGGTTTTGTCATTACAGGAGTTGCTGTGTTCGCTTGGAAGGGCGAGTCTGAAGACGACTTCTGGTGGTGTATCGACCGCTGTGTGAACATGGATGGGTGGCAGGCCAACATGGTAATGATGCATATCTGTCCTACCCTTCTGACAATAGATTTTCCTTTTTTCCCTCAAAGCATGGTTCCCTATATACGTTTTCGATGTTTGGTCTTACGCACTGACTTTGTTGCTAAAGTGTTTAGCTTGGTACCTATTCAGAATGGGTACCGAGTACTGAATGGAAAGGTGGGGGAAGGGTTAAACTAGCTGAACACCTATGACTCAAACACGGCAGAATGAATTAGAAGGAAATGATGTGGTACCTTTTTTGAGTACAATTCTGGTTTTTTTCTTTCTACCCCAGCTCTCCTTTTGCATTCAAAGGGCCCACATATTCCTAAACTCTAGACTAAAAATGAGTCTGTGATAAGCCTAATCCTCTTCATTACAGTCTAGAATAAACCTAGGAATCCTTTTAACCATTATACACCAACAAATTTTACTGTATTTCCACCATCTGAGCCTGCTCTAAGGAGCTCTAAGAAGTGCTCTTCCAAAACATACAGGGCTCTCTTACTCATGCAGAAAGTGGTTCAAAGTTCCCCCCAGCTCTAGCAGCCTGAATGCCCATAGAAGTCTTCTGGCTGTTCTGTAGATCCTGGATGATGGGGGAGACTTAACCCACTGGGTTTATAAGAAGTATCCAAACGTGTTTAAGAAGATCCGAGGCATTGTGGAAGAGAGCGTGACTGGTGTTCACAGGTAACAGATTCTGGAGTAGCTGCCCCTTGTGTCCTTGCCTCAGCACGTTCTTCTGGTCTCTGTTAGGCTTTCAGGCTGTGTTTCAGACTTAGAGTGACTAAATGGGAATATCCTCACTAGACAAGACTTTTGAGCCTTTATTTTTTGAAACATCAAGGTAAACATCAAGGCAGTTATTTCAGGTTCTAGTGACATATTTTTCTCTCCCATTTATTCCACTGAGTGATTCTCAACCAGTGTTGGGAGGTGGGGAGTGAGTGTACCTCGAAAAACTGTATTCAATATTGTCTTATAATCTTATAGTTGGAATTTGAAAAAACTCCTATTGTACTACAGTATTGTTATGCTAAAGAAAGTAAAACAGGGCAAAATATACTTGGCTTGTGGGGATAACTAAAAGAGTGTTTCTCAGTTTGGGGCACACGTGTGCTCCCGCTCTCTCCTTCACACACACACAGGGACCCACGTCAGAATCAATGATAATCTTTGTTTATCAGAAGAAGTCATGGGTTTTTAAAGGCTAAGAAATGTTGGTGTAAGGAAATATGTAAGAAAAGTAACTTTCTTCAATTGAAAGGGTTTTTTTTTTTTTTTCCTTTAAGAAAAAGTGGGATGCAGGGGGAAAAGAAAATAAAAATTAAGGAGAGGTGACAAGGAAATCATCTTATGTGCTAATATCCTTGGGCCGCTAATACACTGGGGAGGGCAACGTGGAACGTGGAGAGAATTAGGCGTATTTTGCCACATTTTATGCTTGACCAGCTAACTTGTTTTTTCTTTGTTTTTTGTGGCCTCTTTTCTCTTTAGGTTGTATCAGCTCTCCAAAGCTGGGAAGCTCTGTGTTCCAGCCATGAACGTCAATGATTCTGTTACCAAACAGAAGTTTGATAACTTGTACTGCTGCCGAGAATCCATTTTGGATGGGTATGTCGAAATTTCTAGAGATTTAAACTTTAGGGGGCCAGATTTGGAGTGGGTGGCAGTGTTAATCCAGCCTTGTTCCCTGAGCTCTTGTCTTTAAAAGTTTGTTAGAGGGCCCATACCATTCTGAGCTCAGCCAGTTTCCAGTTGGAGTTCTCACACTTTTAACTTTGTGCAGAGGGACTGTGTTTGAGTTAATAATGTTTGAGTTGAGCCCTTGTCTGTTTCCTCAGCCTCAAGAGGACCACAGATGTGATGTTTGGTGGGAAACAAGTGGTGGTGTGTGGCTATGGTGAGGTAAATGACTGGGCCTCAGTGTCTCTCTGTCTTTTCATAGACTTCCTAGAAATTTTAAGGTTTATGCTTTCAGTCTAGAGTCTCTCATGAAGGGTTTAAAATATGCTTTTAAGGAACATATCTCAAAATAATAGCAAAATTCCTTTATTCAGAGTTATAAATAAGACACACAGAATGAATTGAGTTTTCATATTTCACCAATTTGTCTCCTGGAATGGAATCTCAGCATCATTTCTCCCCAATTACAACAAAAACCTTTTATGAAACTTATTCAAGTGCATATGTAGTGTTGTAGCCTCACAAGTGACTTGCTGTGCCATGAAGGGCAGAGTCCAAAGTGGTAAATAATTGCTTATCTCTTAACTGGAATAGGTTGTAGGGGATTTTATTGTCATGCAATGGCCCATGGAATTTCCTGACCTGCTGGACTGTTCTTAATAGAACAACTCTCAAATGAGAATTATTAGGTTTTTCAGAATAAGAAATTAGAGGTTATAGTTGCTTTTCCTTGGCCTTCTTTACCTAATGATAAACCTTTTATTTCCTTGATCTTTTTTTACTATCCAAAGCTCCAGTCTTTACTATGAAATGCCTGGTAAATTACCTCTCTGACTGAGATTTATAACATAATCTGGGTCTGTTTCTGCTCTGCGTGGGGTTGGAGCATTCCTGTGTGTGCTCACTAGATGCTGAGTAATTTTAGGAAGGTTAATTTCCATCTCGCAAAGACCTACCTAGCCCAGCACCCCTGCCTTAATGAGCCTGACAGCTTGGCTTCTTGCTTATGCCCTGCAGGTGGGAAAGGGCTGCTGTGCTGCTCTCAAGGCCCTTGGAGCAATTGTCTACATCACAGAGATTGACCCCATCTGTGCTCTCCAGGCCTGGTAAGAACAGATCAGTAATACTATTAGAGTCACTCCAGGTACTTTATATTTCTGAGGGCTCCTGATTGATCACATTCGCCTTTCCTCACAGAAATCTCACAGGGAAGGAGAAGGCTAAGATTGCTCTGGTCCCTTCATGCTAATCCTGGGGGCTCTCCCAGAGCCTCTGGGCATTTGCCTTTCTGGACAGAATCTTGAGGAGTCTGAAGAAACCAGTGTGTATAGTTTAGCACCCCTTGTCACTCATCCCTGTGAGGAGGTAGCACTGGATCTGACTTTAGAAGGGGATTTAGTTGGCTCATTTTGTGATTAGTTTCTGTCCCACTGCCTTCTTGCTTTGTTTATAACATCCTTTCCTTTTCTTCCAGCATGGATGGGTTCAGGGTGGTAAAGCTAAATGAAGTCATCCGGCAAGTTGATGTTGTAATAACTTGCACAGGTAAGTATCAATGCTTTGATGTACATGGAGGGGTGTTAACTCAGAAGCTAAATCTTGAAAGTGGTCTGACTGACTTCCATACAAAGTAGGTGCTATTTAAAGCTCTCAGAACTAGAGAGTTCCAGTAAGCTATCAGAACCTTAGCATGTTTTCTAGAGGAAAGAGCCTTTTTTCCCTTGTAGCTTTTTATCCTGCTTAGATTGAGCCTACAGAACTGTTTATTACACATACTTCTCACAGTGTCCACATGCTCTTACCTGCCAGCAGACCTCCTCTCTCCTGTGTTCTAACTGAAAGGCACCTAGTCTAGTACCTTTGTTTCCCAGTATCTCTTTCCTCAGCCAGACCTTCTTTCCTTTTAGGAAATAAGAATGTAGTGACGCGGGAGCACTTGGACCGCATGAAAAACAGTTGTATTGTATGCAATATGGGCCACTCCAACACAGAAATTGATGTGGTGAGTCTTTTCTTACTCATTTGTTGCCCAGCCTTTCTCTCCTTCCTTCCACTATAGCCACAACCTGCTATGCTTTCTTCCTTTCAGACCAGCCTCCGTACCCCTGAGCTGACTTGGGAGCGAGTGCGTTCTCAGGTGGACCATGTCATCTGGCCAGATGGCAAACGTGTCGTCCTCCTAGCAGAGGTACACACCCAGAAGGACTCTGAAGTGCTCTACAACATTTGGGGTGAAGGCAGAGAATAACTGTTTGGGCCTAGTTTTTTCTGAACTTTGTTTTTCTGATGAACATGCAGTTTCAAAATGCCTGATGCCCAAAATAGAATAACTCAAAAATTCTGCTTTTTACCAAGAAGCACTATTTCCTTACCACAACTGATTCTTCAGTCTTTCAGACTCAAGTAGATTTACAGAAAATAGGATCAAACCTAGAGTTCTGATCTGGAATGTAGTTTCTCCTCTTCTGACTAAGTCTAGGGATAGAAAGGCCTGTCTTGTTCTTGCCTGACTTGTGTGGCACTGGAATCTGAGACAGAAGAATAACACAGCTGATTGCAGGGCTCTCTTTTACTTTTCAGGGTCGTCTACTCAATCTGAGCTGCTCCACAGTCCCCACCTTTGTTCTTTCCATCACAGCTACAACACAGGTGTGTGGCACAAAGCCTGCTTATCCTGCACTGAGATTAGAGGGGTTGGGCAGAGATCAGAGTTCAGTGAGTGTGGGGTAGGGGACGTTAGGACCTCTCTCAAGTGAGCACCGTGCTATATTCTTATCAACCTGGTTTTTTGTTTTGTTTTGTTTTGTTTCAGGTCATAAGTTGTAGAGACTCAGGCTTCTTCAGGTATAGAAGAGTCATTAGGCAGAGTCAGTGTTTGGGCTGTTTTAGTTGAGAATCTAGTGTTTCACCTTAGTTGTATTTAGTCTGTTCTTTCGTCAGTAACTAAATAAAAGCACCAACAAATTATCTTGGGATTTGTGTTGGCTTTTATTCCAGGCTAAGGTTGCTTTTGCTACAGTAGATCACGTATACTAAGACCCTGTTAAAACAAAAAAAAAAAACAAAAAACAAAAAACCAAATGCACTGCTGTTGAGTAGAATCCAACTTATAGCAACCCCTCCTTCAGTTTCCGAGGTGGTATCACTATGGAAGTACATTGCCCAATCTTCCTTCTGAAGAGTGACTGTTAGGCCTGGTTTATTTTTGTGCCCCTAAGTGTTTCCATTTTTTTCTGACCCTCCTTTTCCACCTTAGGCATTGGCACTGATAGAGCTCTACAATGCACCTGAGGGACGATACAAACAAGATGTGTACTTGCTCCCTAAGAAAATGGGTGAGTGAAAAACAGTGGACACCTGTACTGATCACAAACAGCTGTATGGTTTGGTAAAATGAATATCATGAAAAGCATTGGCCTTGGAGTCCGAGTTCTATCCCAATCCTAGCTTTTAGTGGTTGACCTCAGCACAAATTCTAATCTCTGTGAGTCTCAGTTTCTTTCTCAATAAAGTGGGAATACTAATGCATCCATTGCCAAACTGCAGTGAGAATTACAGATGATGGGTAGAAGTGCCTAGTACTATCACTTAGAGTAGGTGCTTTTATACCAAGTAACTTTATGAAAGTCAGTGAACTGCCTCAGCTTTCCTGGTACAACTAAGTATAGCCTGGTACCAAAAAAGAGAAACAAGCAATTACAAATTTTTTATTGTCCAATCCTCTGTGTAGAAATGCAAACCACCTCTTATCTGACAACCTGTGATCCCAGACACAAACCCTGTTGTGTTCTTGTTACATAATACATCAGCTGTAGTTCTTTACCTTTCCAAACAGTGGTGCCCAGCTCCCATCTCTCATTGGTCAGCCCAAATTCCTAACCTCTTAATGCTAAAATTTCTTGCTCTCAGCCCCTCCCACAACTTACCTCAAATTGATTTAGGAGAAAAAAATATGTATTTTTTGTTATTGTTGTTTTCATAAAGGCAAAGCCAGGGCAGCTTATCTATGGAAGAATAATAAATTTGTTCCATATGCCTTAGCAATCTGTGATCCTAAGATTTAAGGCCTTTATAGATCTTAATGACACAGGGGTCTGTTGTACTTCCAGTATTTACTTTGATACATAATTTAATCCTGGGAAGGAGGTTGCTGTAGAGAAGTGAGTGTAGAAAGTGGCATGTTGACCACTGATGTCATGGCAAGAGCTTTGCCAGACAAGAGGGAAATACAGGCCCACCCCATTTTGTCACCCTGGTAAGTGAAATGCACCATGGATGTACTGAGAGAAGTTCCTTGCCAGAAAGACAGCTCTGAGGGTTTTTTTTTAATTGACTATTTCAGGTTTTTTCAAAGTTATTCCATCCATTATCCACACTCTCAACTTCAAATGAAAGCAGAAAGGCATATTTAAAATGTAGTCTTCTCCCCTGCCACTTTGCTCTTCCTAGATGAGTATGTGGCCAGTTTGCACCTTCCATCATTTGATGCTCATCTGACAGAGCTGACAGATGACCAAGCAAAATACCTGGGACTCAACAAAAATGGGCCATTCAAACCCAATTATTACAGGTAATTTCTTCCCTGTTCTTCCACAGGGTTCTTCTGAAAGGCTCTTTTTCCCAGTATTAAACCAAGCAGGCTAGCCAGCTTTCTTAAATAAACATTAGGTATTATACCTGATTTTGGGGAAAACAAAAACTCTGTTTCAGATTAATAGGATAGGCAGAGAAATTGTATATTAATGGTAAGTGTAAAGAAGTGCAAGCTTTTTGAAATTCTAGAGCTTGATCCTTATGCCTAAAGATTCTGATATAGTTAGAGTAGGATAGGGCCCAGACAAAGATTTTATGAAAGCTATTCAGGTTATTTTAATATATTATATGGTCAGTCTTGAAAAACACTGAGTTCGTATGTTATCAGGGAGCAGGAGTTAAAACCAGAGATGGCATCATCAGAACCCCGAGGAGAAACAGGGTAGAGTGATGAGCCTATTGATGGCCTGGAAAATGACTGCAGGGGTCCCCAGCCTGGGCCGTAGCGGGTCCACACAGAATGTGCTGCTTCTCATTCTTCCCTCGGGACTCACATATGAAAAACACAAGTGGTAATCAGTCTATCTCTTTCTTTACAGATACTAATGGACCATATTACCAAGGACCAGTCCACATGAACCACACAAGTCTAAAAAATATTTTTTAAGATAATTTTTATTTTCTTCTTATTCCTTTCCTCTTTATTTTATTTTTCCCATAATTTCATTCTTGTTTTTTCATCTCATTATCCAAGCTCTGCAGACCACACAGGAACTTCCTTCATGGCTGTTTTAGATGAGACTGAGGTTCAAGATTCCTCACCCTAGTCATTAAAGAAGGATTTTATTCTCCCAGCCCAGAAAGGTGATTCTCTCTTTACCATTTCTGGGGATTTCAGTCTTAAGTGGGTACCTTATAAAAGGAAATGCTAAGGTACTTTCTATGTGGAACAATCTGCAATGTCTAAATTGCCTTAAAAGAGCCCATTTCTTAGTGTTCTTTCACTCCTCCAGAGGAGCAGGGGTGGTTCCTTACCAGCCAGGTAGGTTAGATGTAGGTGGTGCATGTTAATTTCCCTTTGAAGTTCCAAGCCCTGTTTCCTGTGTAAGGGTGGTGTGTCTGCTTCAAGACGTGTACTAGTGAGTGTTGTTTGTTAAGATCCAGTAGGTCCACTTGGATTTAGTACAGCTCTTCCTCCACTCCCACCTGACCCTCTCATTTTTCTAGTTTTTAACCAGACTGCACTTTATTAAGTTGAATTTTGTCCCCTAGCATTTGTTATTTCTGTTGTACAAACAAAAAAAAAAAACTTTAAGGAAAATTTTTAATGTTAATACTGAGGAACTGCTTCAGTGGTTGGTTCGTTGTTACCAGTTTCTCTTTCAAAGCTTGGGAGCTAAGAGTGCAGAGTTGAATCTGGTAAAATGCTGGTCTCAAACTCTTGAGAAGTCCTTCTGTTTCTAGTCCATAGTTTGTTGCACCAATGAACTGGGGCCATAACAGCAATTTCTATCAGCTCTGCCCCACACAGCTTGTGCTGAAGGCAAATTTCTTGAGCCACTTCTTGTTATAAAGCACTGAGCTCTATCTTTAGGATTTATCCTTTAAGAGCAAATTTCTGGTCAGCTGCGCTTCTACAACCTAAACTATTTAAAGGGAGGTAGATGTGGATGGGAAGAGGAAGGATAAATTGGGCCAGAGTGAGAGAAATCTAGCTCTTTATAATTTGTTTGGGACTTTAGGCCTTATATAACATTAGTTTTGCAGCAATGGTGCCACTTTTGATTGAAAATACCACAAAAAGTTGATGAACCAAGATCTTAAAGGGCAGTTTGTGCATAGAGAAAGTAATCAGGAGGTCCTGGCTCATACTGTGGAAGAATCCACAGACAGGCTCTCTCAGAGATCAGAGATGTGTTCCCACGCCGTGCACCCGCTTACCAGCATCTCTGCAAGGTCAGATGAGCTTTATTGTGCTCATGAGCTTTAACTATATAATTACCCAGGATTCTAAATCCTCAACTTGTGCTAGCTTGAAATCCTTCAAAGTTGGGGTCAGGCATTAGTGCTGGGTACTAGAAAATTTGATTTCTCTGTTGCCACCAACGAGAGACACAGATGTTAAAAACAGAAATATAAGAAAAGCTTTCACCTGCAGCTTCCTAGCAGGAGACAGTTGTCTTGCCAAAACTTCTCTCTTTCTCCTGTTTCTCCCCACCCAGTCCCTTCCTACTCCTTGCCAGTGTGACTATGCTTTTTTCTCTGTAGATGCTAACGGTTCAAGCCCTTTTTCCTAGGGCACTTAACCAGCCAATCAGAACACCACATCCATTAGGGGAGGTAACCTGGCCAACAATGTATCCATCGAGTCAGCTCTGCTGGAGGGAAGGACCCAGGTCCTGCTGCCCTCTGCCCTGCCCCTGCTCCCATATCTATTACTGTGTCCATAGGAATAATAGGTAAGGGCTCCATCTCTGTCAAGCCATTTAACAAGGAACACTGGAGAAATGTCTGGCATCAGAGGGAGCATGTGGAGAGTAACTTGGGAGGAACAAGTTTATTTTGTATTGAATGATTTTTAATGAATGCAATATTAATCCTTGCAGATGAGCAATAATCATTAAAGTCAATTAAAATGATAAGACCTTATTGGCAGTCTGTGTCATTCTTGGTTGGACAGCAGAACTTCATAAGGACCTGTTTCCTAGGGTAGGACAAGTCATGGGTCAGTGTTTAATAGTATTTAATACTATTATTTAATAGTATTTAATAGTATTAAATACTAATTCAGTATTTAATAGAGGAACAGCTGGATTCAGAATTCTTCAGTAACATCTGAAGTTTGATGCCTGCTCTGTTGCCAAGCACTGAACCAAAGCATTTTCACTCTTAACTTCTTAATTAATTGCTGCTTAAGCTTCAGGGCTTCTTACTTGCACAGTACTTTTCCTTTTCCCACAGTTCAGCATCCACAGGATCCACAGGGCTGGTGTGGGAGTTATCCACATGGGAGCTGAGGGTGTGACCAGGGGCAGAGAGTCAGACCTTAAGTAAGATGAGAAGGGCATCCATGTGGGGAAGGGATAGTAGCAGCAACAGCAGGTTGGTTAGAAACAGGGCTTGATCAAATAATAAAAGCATTAAGACTAATGGAAGCCAGGTTTTTTTGTTTTGTTTTATTTTTGGAGAGAGTATTACAAATTAGAGGAAAAAAACAGAATGAACTCTGGTGTTGGGTTTCAAATGGAGGTATCATGTGCACTTGTGAATTTCAACATAGAGAAATACGAATGTACATGTATGTGTGTGTATATATTTGTATATGTCCATACAAACATTCCCTAGCTCTGTCTACTGCACGAGCCCTCTTAGAGCAGGTCTCCTCCCTCCATTGCAGTGTGCACACCTGGCATTCAGATCTAAGTACCACAGTCTTCACTGAAAGAAGGCAAGACTCCTTAGAGAAATAGTTGATTCCATGGTGAGCCAGGAAAAATAGCAAAATGAACCAGAAAGCAAAGAAGTGCTCAGAAAATTACAGGGGCATGTCATCAAGCTCAGTTGCCACAACATACTTTACAAAAACATTGTTTTACATCCTACTTTGGTGAGTAGCATCTGGGATCTTAAATGCTTATGAGCAGCCATCTAAGATATAAGAATTGATCTTTCTTCATCTGGAGCAAAGAAGAGTAAAGGAAATCAGATGCATGGAAACAATTAGTCCGAGGGACTAGTGGACCATGCGAACCTCACCTCAGGTGACCCTGAAACCAGAAGAACTGGATGGTGCCTGGCTACTACTGCCAACCACTCTGAAAGGGATCAAAATTGGAGATCCTGCATAGAGTGGGAGAAAAATTTTAGAACAAAAAGTCATAAAAAGACCAGGCTTACTGGTCTGATAGAGACTGGTAAAACCCCTTGTCACACTTCAGACCTGGAATTGAACTCACTCCCATGGCTTAACTTCCAGCCAAACAATAAACAGCCTACAAAGTGAACAATTACACCAGGTAGGAGTGTACCTTAGGACCATCAACCACGGGAAAACAGAAGGGCAGCATTTGCACAGGGAGAAAGCTTAAAGGGCAGGAATGCATAGGAAAGGACACACAAAAAAGGTGACCACAGGGAGGAAGTGGGAAGAGAGCTGTTACATTGTGGGGATTGCAATCAGTGTCGCAAAATATTTTAAATGTGTATGAACTGTTGAGTGGAAAATGAACTTACTCTGTAAACAATTCACCCAAATCACAATAAGAAAAAAATTTATGACTAACTCAATTTACACTAAAAAAGGAAAAGTATGGGGACATGTCAAAAGGATACAAGCCAGCTTTATTGAACTTTTAACTGAGAAAATAAGGGACAATTTGAGTATCAAAATAAATAATGTTAACAGTTTATAATCCATTGAATAATATAGGGAACTATGTGTCTGTAGGAAGTCTTGCTGACACAGTTGCTACTAACTAGAGTTGGTGGTTTGAACTTACCGAGCAGCTCCATGGGAGAAAGACCTGGTGATCTGCTTCAGTGAAGATTTCAGCTGAGAAAGCCCTAAATGGTAGGACTCTGTCACCTGGGGTTATTGTGAGTTGGAAATTGACTCGATGACACCCAAAAATGTGTCCACACACAGATAACTAAATAAACGAAAACTTTAATGAGAAATGAGATACATGCCTAGTTTCAAAGTACCTTCCCTTAAACTCTTTATTGCAGTGGGAAAAAGAGTAACTTCACACCAGAGAAGACTGGCAGACCACCCTAACTGAACAAAGTGAACATTTGTAATAGGAAAAATCTCAACCCTGTACCACAGTAGGGGTTGTGTTGAAGACACGGCATCCCTTCTGTGATGTTCCTGCCAAAGATGCAAAACCTGAATGTCACCATGAGATGCCACAAATCCAAACTGAGAGACATTTGGCAAAATAACTGGGCTGTATAATTGTAGTTATGGTTGTGTGTCAATTTGGCTGGGCCTTGATTTTGAGTGGCTTGGCAGTTAAGTTGTTACTCTCCATGATGAAATTGGATGTGGTATAGTCACCTCCATGGTGGAATCTGCTGTAAGCAGTTAATTGGTTGAAGGGGAGTTGCCTTCAGGGTAAGGCCTATTGCCAGTGTAAATGGAAAAGCATTGGGAAAGGTCTCTGGCTTCTTACTCATTTTGGATCCTGTATTTGCCCATCATCATCTCTAGTTCCTGGACTTGAACCAGTGGCCTGCCACATTGCCTGCCAATCTTGAGATTCTCTCTATAGTCTGCGAGCCAACAGTCTGCCATTTTACCTGCCAATCTTGGATTCAACAGCCTTAGCAGCCAGCAGCCTGTTACACTGCCAGCCAATCTTGAGTTCATCAGCCCCTGCTGCTGCGTGAAACAGGAGAAGCCTCTAGCCTGACACTGGATCCACGGACTTGGCTCTTAACCAGCCTCTACAACTGCATGAGCCATTTCCTTGAGATAAATTTATATATACCTATGTATATAAGCTTCACTGGTTTTGCTTCTCTAGAGAACCCAGCATAAGATAATAATCTTCCAAAGTGTCCATCACTAAAATAAAAAAATGACTAAAGAACTGTTCCAGATGGAAGGAGTAATATGACATCAAAATGCAGTTCTGAACCAGATCATTTTACTATATAGGACATTACTGCAACAATCAGTGAAACATAAAAGGGGTCTGAGAATTAGATGGTAATATCAATTTCCTGATGTTACTGGCTGAAGTATGGATATATAGAATGTCTTTGCTTGTAGGAAATAAAACACTACAAAGTATTAGGGAGTGATGTGTCATCAGGACAACAACTTACAAATAGCTCAGGAAAATATATTATTTGTATTGTACTGTTACTTTTCTGTAAGTTTATTTCAGAGTTAAAAATATTTTTTAAACAGTTTCAAGACAAGAAAAATTAGATTTGGCTTAACTTTAATTAGTTGTGTTCTATGTAGGAACCTGCTAGACCAAATAAAAATAATGAAAGTAAAATCTTCTGGGTTAGTTAAAGGAAAGAAAAAAATTTTATATGCTCACACAAAACAAAATTTCCCTGATAATATATTCCAACTCATAATAAAGACATAGATAGACAGGGATCAATTTAAGGAAGGTGGGGAGTGGGAGTGTAGCATGGTGTAACCATTCCAAAGTACTGAACAAAATCTTAACCTACCAAATAATTTCTGAATGCCAGAAACTTGTGGAGAAATTTGTGGGTTTTGGAAGATTGTCAGAAAAGAATTGATGTCATTGCTTCCCTGCTTCTTGT